CAAGCCCATCTTTTGAAGATGTAGGATGTCAAAAGTATAACTTGAGGCTGTCTTCTCCTCTTTACCCATCCTTGGCAGATCTCGACCACATCTGCACTATTAAGGCTGGGAGCCATTGTAGTAACTTTTCCCTGCAGGATAAGAATCTTTGGGAGACACTACTGTCTCAAGAGCTGGTGATTTAATTCAGCACAATAAATAAATCCCTCTGTATATTAGAAGGTATCAATAACAGACAAACCCTAGGCTATTCAGTTATTTAAAAAAACAGGACTCTCAATTTGGTACTAATGCATAGGGGAAAGGAAGGAAGCAATATGAGAGGTTTAGGGAGTAAATATTAGGAAAAAAAAGGAACAAAAGAGAAGAACAGCTTCTCCTCCACTGTGAGACACATACTAGTGAAATATACATGCCTATACAAAGTGGGTGGAAATGTACTTTTATTTTTTAGGTGGACTTAGGATACTGATAACACATAACTTGTTACAAGTCTGTCTTCCCTAACTTCATAGAAAGTGCATATTGGTGGTTCTGCAGATGAGACTTTATGCTTAAATAGCAGTATTTCTCAGTTTTTGTGTTTCACTATGTATAAAGCTTCATCTTTTGTATTAAAAAGCAAAAAAGGAATCTTCTTGAAGAAGTCCACTGTAAGCTTCACTGGTGGTGATATATCTGGTGGAACATTGTTTCTTTCCAAATTCTCTTAGAGGGAAGGAAGTTTAAAAGTTGCTTTTGCAATTTTGTGTTGTAATTTGATGGCAAACCATGATTTAGTTGTTTTTCTTCTCAGTTGAAGATGCACAGAACTGGTAAGCAAACTACTACATGTAAAGTAGAATTGCATCATGGAGTACTATAAGCTTTATCTAGCATGTATTTTTCATGTTAGGTAAACATATCTTTCTCCTGGCATGGTAATACATCAAGTTGTCTTTTAAAAATGCTGTATAGTGGAGCAAAACTCAGAATGTTTGTCCTTCAGGAGTCTCTTTACAGACCTGAATAAACATTGTAGAGATGCCCAAGTCATTAGGGATTTGCCCTGCTAGATAGGCAATTCCACTGCATCACCCTTTCAGTGTAAATAATTATGCTTAATTAATGGAAATGCAATATATACTGAGTAATGGCAGAATAAGTAAATTAACAAATGCAGGGGAAGATGTAGCTCTGTGAGGGCATCAGATGAAAATCTTGCTATTTCATTAGTTTATGCCAGTTAAAACAAATGCGAAGTATAAACCAACACTTTTTTATACTGTACAAGGGCATTGCAATGAAATGCATTTTAGCTTGTATTAGAATTAGTAATTAGAAGTACAAGATGAATAGATTAGGCACGTGACAGGCTGTATTTGGTATGCAGTCCAGAACAGCTGTCTCCTGTATCCGCAGATACTGACGCTCACAGAAAGGATGGCCAGACTTTGCAAACCCATTTCTGACAGTGCACAAATAAACAACTGAGGGTGGATTTAACAATGCAGACAATATTAATCCTTCTCCATTCCTGCTGTCTTGAGGATTTGAAAGGTAAATGCAATTAAGAAAAACTTGAATTTACCAGTCTACACTTGGAGGCTCATACTTTCCTTCCCTTGGTCCCAACTAAAAATTTTTTTACTTCCATTGTATTTATACCAGCCACCAATGAAATGCCAAATTCTTCTAGCTTGGTTTAATTGTTTCTTTGGAATGACATAAACGTAAAAATAGAGTAAGGGACATAAGAAGCTTTCCTTTCAGCTTTGTGTTCTTTCTCCAAATGACCATGCCTTTTCACCCTTTTTTCCCACCCATATTTTTCCTCTCCTTTCTTCATGCTCAGTAATCTTAAAAATAATCTTTGTGCGGGATGGATGCAAAGGAATTTTCCATGGGGAACTGTACGATTTCATGAGAAAACAAGCAGGGAGCACCCTGAAATTTCACAACATATCCTGAAGAAAATTAAAGTGGCATGGGGCCATGTTGTAGATCTCTGAATTCTGCTTTGCTTCAAGAGTAGTACCTTTTTGGCTTACTGATGCTTTTGTTTCTATTTTTGCCTATTTTCCCACTTGCATTTACTTGTTCATGACTTGGAAAATAAACTTTTTGCAGCAGGGATTGCCTTGTGGTTTTTTCTGTGAGCATGGTTTCTGCATATTTGATAATTCTGGGCCAAAGGTGATAGAAGTCATCTTTCTATGGACTCAAAATTTCAGACTGCTTTTAGTTGAAAGTCCCAAAATACTGACTTCTTGGTAGTGTTATTAGTGTTTGGGCAGCAGGTGTGTATTATTTCTTAGGTACATCACATCACTGCCTGCAGAGTAAGGAAACTACTCACGGCTTCTTGGAAGGTGAACTCACTGTGTGCCACTCAGCTCAGTTTCAAGTTGGCTTGAGCCCTACACTGTATTAATACCTACAATCCTCTCTCTTCTATGGGGGAGAACAACAGAGATGATGGTAATTATTTTTTTTTTCAGTTACACCTCTTTATTACTAAGAGGTATTTTCATATTATTTGTAAAGTAAGAGTGTAGCCTGTGTTGCACTGTGAAAGTCTTGTACAGCAATCACTAACATGTGACACATGTACATACTTTACTACAGTATTCCTCTAATTAAGTAAATTTTTCTTCTAGATGTATCTATGCCAGAAGGCAATGGTCTTGTGGTGATGGCACAGATTGTGGTGTGAAATAGCAAAAGAAGATGGAAGAGAAAACCCACAGGCTTTTGAACACAGGAATTTTTCTTTTCCATCTTTCATTTTGGGTAGCTGAAAACATGGAGTTTCTGAGCAGGATATTTTCATGTGCTGGTTTTGTTTTGTGGGTTTTCTGAAAGAATAGTGTAGGAAGTTATGTTAACAAGAAACAAACCCATTTTTTCCTGTCAGAGGGGATAGGCATTTAATCCCTGAAGTGATTCTAAAGGTCAGTAAAGATACACTGGTGCTCTTTCAACCTGCAAGTAAGTAATTGCTTGGGTCTGCCAAAGAACCACGTAGGTTTACACATATCTATATATTCAGTTAGTTAGTCAAGTATTTGCGGTTGATTAGTGCCTAAAATACTATCTGGCTGCTTTCTCTTAAATAACTCAAATAGTCAATCCTGTTAGAACTACTCTGAGCTTCATCACAGTGATCACATCTGCATAAAAATGTAGAATTTGCTTCCTAAAGTGAACCCAAAAATACCTCTTGTAAGAATAATACCAAAAGCAGTTCAAACTTGGCCAGGACTCAGAACATGCCAAGTGCATAAATCTCATGAGCAGATTGTCTCCAAAGGCTTAAGAGAACATTGTGGGAAAGATGAAATCATATGAAGACAAGAGAGGGAACTGGAGTTCTTACGTGTACCCTTTCTTCTGATAAATGTGATGTAACACTAACCAATGATTTAGACTGTTTACTCTTACTGTAACAGAGTAAAATCATGTTCAGGCAGAGTCCACACTGTTAACCCTTCCCTTTCAGTGCTGTGTTTCCTCAGCTAGTTCTTGGCCCAGCTGGAAAAGTGGCAGGAGATGTCACATACATATGGACATTATGTGGCTGGCTGGGTGTTTTTCCCCCCATGTTGTTTAAGCAGGCTTAGAGCAGTCCTGAAGAGCATTAACATGCTGCCTCTGACAGCTGAGAGTGTTTTGCCACAGGTGTAGTTTTCCCCAGAGGACTCTGAGTCTGAATGCTGAAGAGGGAAGAGAACAGACGTCCTTTGTTGTCCTTGATCGGAAAGGGGTGTGTAGCACTCAGCAGAGGGTTTATTTAACAGCTTGGTTGTATCCATGGGGCGGTATCAAACAGTAAAATATTGGTAAGAAATAAGTTTAGTGGGGCATTCTACTTTCACACTGCCCAGCAATAAACTGTAAAAATCATCCCTGAAATATGCCTCCTGTGATGAAGAGTTACAAGTGGGTTATAATTCACCAGACATTTCTAAAAGCAGTGATATGCAAGAGGAAGACAGACCACTGCAGCAGATGATGTAGGAGTAGAGAGATTACTGAGTAGGAGAAGCTAGAAGGAGAAATTACTTCTTGTGACACTAGGGAGGCACGTTTCAAACTTGGCTTATAATTGTATGTACTTTACCTGTCTCTGAAATTCTCTGACGTATATTAATGTTACAGCAATCTATATGAACAAAATGGGCAGTATGCCAAAGGGGGTTGTAATTTTCAAGTACCTCCGTATTGTTATTGGAGAGGGGAGGAGGATATCCACTAACAGTGTAATTATGTGGCAATTCCAGGGAAATTGATTATTATTAGCTTTTTATGATCACACTAACAAAGTCAATGATCCAAGATAAAACAGCAAAAATTAGTGCTTGAACAATATTCAGCAACAAGGTATCACCAGGTGAGAGTGGATGCATCTGAAACCAGATAATTCCTGAAAGGGAAATGGCCATCTCCCACCAATTATAACGATGGATGTGCTCTATTAAAGCCTGATCCACTTTAACGGGGGGCTCCCAGCCTGAGAGGCCACGTAAGTATGCAATGACACATACAGTATCGAGAAGTGGGTGGGTGTTTATTCTAAATACCCACATCACTGGGGTATTTGCACTTTTAACCAACAGAGAGAATTACAGGTAGTGAATACAGATCGATTTCTTCCAGTTGGTTATTGCTTTAACAAAATCTTTTGTCATTTTTTCTAACATCCGCCTTCAGTCCCCCAAACACAGCACAGAGACTGGTACCTGCATAGTCAGAACTATCACTTGTCAGCCATGTCTTCCCCTTTGAGGCTTCATGGTTTTATATATAATAATTAAAAACACTTCTCTGAGATGGGAGAAGGCTTTTCTAAAAGGACAGCAAGTTGCTGCAATACAATAGCATATTATTTTTGAAGGTCATAATAATAAAGTAGGGGAAAGAGAATAATCATTATTGCTCTTTCTTGTAATTAGTTTGCTTTCCGATATCCCACACTGTAACTAGAACACTATTCAAGAACACCCATCACAGTGCTTAACAAGATTTAATGTACATTTATTCTTAACATGTGGAACATATAAAGATTTTATACTGAATAAATGAAATTCATTAAGCCAGAGGAAAAGGAGGAATTTACATCAAGTTTTTTCTTTTTTAACTACATTATCTTGAAATACAAATGCAGATTCTTGTCACTGAAAAATCTTTGAAGTTGTGTTTCTTCCTTTTTTTTTTTTTCCTGTATATATTTTTTGTCTGTAGACTGGTAACCATTTTCTTAAATCAATCCATACGTAACCATTTCCACACCTTGATTTATAAAGCAAATTGTGATCGGCTGCTCTCCCGAAATAGAGCATGACTTTATACATACAGAAACTTGTACATTACCCTCAGTTGTTGGTTTTCTGTGTTGGGTTTTTTCTTTTTTCTTTTTTTTTTTATTATTTTTTGGAGATATGGCCCAAATGAAAGAAAAAATAATTCTACTATCACTTTGTAGATACCACATCATGAAAAAGAAACTAAAAACTTTGTACTAAAAAAAAAAAAATGAGGGTATGTTTCATGTACAACTTCTATATACATCACGGCCCTTAGGCAATAAAAAAATATTTTAAAAAATGATTAAAGGAATTGTGAAGAACTGTCATTGTGGAAGGTCAAAAAAAAAGAAAATATGTAGACAAGACAGTTCTGGTGAGGAAGCAATTGATGTTTAACTTCAGGTTTTGTTTAAAAATCTTTTAACTTGACTTATTTCGTTTTGTTTTGCTCCTAGCCTAATGTAACCATTTCTCCTGAGGAGAAATCAGTATTGTTTTGGATTTTGACTACTGACTGACACCCTCCTTGATCCCCTATACCTACATCACTAGAATCTTCTATTGCACAGAGCTTTGGGTGATGGTATACAAGTTTTTTTTTATTTTTTCCTTATCTGAAAAAATAAAACACACAGGAACTTGGTATGTTGGTTATTTTTCACCTTTTTGTTTCAAAGTGGTGACATTTTTGTCCCATCATACAATGGTTTGCCATAACATTTTTTTTAAAAAGTCACTAGTTCGCTTCCCAAAAAATATGCAATACAAACATGGAAAAGAACATTGAAAAGGATAATCTATGGAAAAAAAAAAAAAAGTGTGACCTTTGAATGTACTAGACAGCAACTTTGGTTAAAAAAAATAAAATAAAAAGATGTACTTATACACATAGACAGCAAATATTAATTTCGTAACTGTTCAAATTAATAATTTCTTTAATTCCCAATTGGTAAATAGTGAATGGGGCAGAGGAGCAAAGATTCTTTTTTTTTCCTTCTTCCTACATTGGATAAACAAGAACAGAAAACAGCCAGTTATATGTGACCCTCTAATCTCCACTCACACATGCTTGGCTTCTCACTTATGTCATAACTGCCCAATCTGAAAAAGTACATCACAGATGACAGATGCAACCAGAGAGTTCAGGACAGCAGATATTGAGATATCCAGCAAACGACCCTCGTGCAAAAGGAACTCGGAGCGGTTCTCGTCCACTCTCGCCATGGCCAGCAAGGCCTTGGCTGCCCTGCACATCATGTCTACGCTAGGCGGCTCCAGAGGCGGAGGCTGCATGTGCATGAGGTTATGCTGGCTCTGCTGGTACTGGGCCATAGTGACCCCATCCTCCAGGAAGCTTATCAAGTTTCCAATGCTTCCCTTCTGCACAGCTATTGCCCTTGCTGCTAATGTGTCCCCCTGGGCAAGGTTCGATAGGAGCGCCATGGACATTTCTCGGCAGACCGGGTTTTTGCGGTCCCCAACGTACCTAACTAAAGTAGCGTAGAGTTTCTCCTGACGGCTGAATGGGGGGGTGGCCAAGATAAGGTCCACATTATTGTCCTGGATACTGAGCTTACACAGGGTCTCCAGCACAAGTCTCTGAGGCGAAAGAACTGAGTTGGGCCCCACGGTTGGAAAAGGATCCTGTGCCTCTGCAGACGGGCACACCATCCAGTGCAGCAAGCCATCCAAAATTGGCAAACAGATGCTTTCTGTGTAAGCAGACAAGTCTAGCTGCCCAGAAATGTTGGCTAATGTGACCAATGTATTATCCCTCAAAACCTCGAGGCAGTCCCACCACCACTCATCCTTGCTGCAGGCCACCCCTTTGTCCTCCTCTTCCTCCTTCTCATAAGTCTGCGGCGCTCGCTTTCTTTCTGGATGCTCATGGTGAAGAAGGATCAACTTTCCCAGGATCAGCACCAAGCCTGGATGTTTGGACATTTCGGTGTCGTTGCCAGGCACAAAAGACAAGCTACGGACGATATTTGACACACAGATGCAGCGTTTGGCCAAGGAGTCTTGCCAGTGAGTTATGGTGCATAGAGGAGTCTCATCCCGGCTCCTTGGCTCATCCTCTAGCAGCTTAATATTCCGGTGGCTTTTGGCTTGATGGATCCCGAAGGGAAATTTACTGCTCTCTGTTTGCGAACCAGAGTTTGAGTCTTCAGGTAATGCTCCTGGCCGAGCTGAGAGGACATCATCAATGGTTGCCGTTATACTCTTTTCTTGTTGCTCCTCAGATTCACCTTTCCCCTCAAGGTCCTTCTTTTTGCTTGGAGAGTTCAAGGGAGGAGGGGCTTTCCTGCGTGGTGGAATCTCCATCTTGCTTTCAAAGTGAGTCTGGATATGCTCAGTTGTGTCACCACCACCAAGCTGCCAGTGGAGAAGTCCACTATCAAATTCCTGAACACGTCCAAGTTTGTCAGAACGGTCAACAACAAATAGATTATTTTTCTTTACAATCTTTATTGGCAGCTTGTCAAATTTACTGGCTTGTTTTGGCCTCTCACTTGGATCAGCAATGGCACCAGGAGTAGAAAAAACAATGCTCTTTTCTTCTCCTTCTACCTTTTCATCCTCCCCCTCCTCCTCATCTTCATCAAAATAGTCAATACATTCGTCATTCTCATCTTTTCCAGTATCCTCTGCCAAGGACTGACTATCATCTTTCTTGGCTGCTTTGTGATCAAGTGCTTTGTGGCCTGGATCTCCCACTTCATATTCCATAAGGATTCCAAAAATGTCAATCAGGCATTTTCTAAAATATTCTACTAAAAGCTCAAGAAATCCAGACAACTGAGGGAAAAAGAAAGAAAGAACATAAAAATCACATAAATATTTTTGTCTGCATTTAATTTTATTAGGAACACTGATGCATACATGTGTGAGTATTTCTCTCATCCTGATGTGGAATTGTGGCTAGGTCCTGCACAGCAGAAGTTAATCAAAAGAAATTCTTTTAGAGTCTGCCCAAACAGTATATCATGTCAAACTATCACAGCTCCGTTTGCTTCAGCTGTAACAGCTATGAGAGGTAGAGAACTTTATTAATGTCTCCTTTAAACCACAGCAGACATCTGGCTTAGCTGTTCTGCCCCCTTGGAAATGCCTATTACTTTTCATTTTTTGTAAACAGTACTGAAGTTCTTAACTTGGCTACTTCTTCTGATTTGTATTTTTATTAAATATCTAAAGTTTGCAATTCTTCCTTTCCTCCTTTGTCTCTAAAACCAACTGTCATTTAGGAACCTGCAGTTCAGGGGCCAGGTACTGATATCCTAGATTAGTATTTCATCTCTATTGGAATAGATCCATTTTCTGTCTGGCAGTAGTTAAAGTAGTTACTGGAGCCTGGTGCTGTAAGTCACCCTTCAGAAACAGTTTTCATTTAGGTTTAATCTTCTTAATTAACTTGTAATCACTTTCTTATGGAAAGGCAGTAGCTGGACTTGGTATTAATTTATGCTTAGTGGCTTTATTAATAAAAATTCTTTGTTGTCATGATGCATTCAGCCCAATTGTCTGGCTCTTAATGAGTTTATTTTTTTTTTAATTGTGGGTTAATGGGTTTTCAGTAAAATGTAGCCTTTTGTCCATTCTGTATTCTCTTATGATTCTAAAAGAACTTAGAATGAACTTATGCTTATCAGAACTGCAGGAGTTACCAGACATCATAAGGTCCTGGCTGCCATTGGAAACAGAGCCCAAAGCAAACATCACAAAAGAATATATGTATTTACAGTATGTCTGGTATTCTGTGCAATTTGCATAGGATGCATTAACACAATTTCTGACGGAATTCAGAGAAATTCACCTCATTTAACTTCAAACACCCACTCTAGACACACACCTAACATAACCATCTCGATTCCTTTTATAATCAATGGTCTTTTACAGGCCATTTCTAGGGTATGATTCATCTGACCTATTTTAGATCTCTCCTTCTGGGTGAGATAAATCATGCTATAGATATCCCTAGTTCTAAAGTAAGGTGGGATGTAATGTACCATTTGTGTCTGTATTTTTTAAAAAAAAAGCCATTATATTTAGAAAATGATGAGTTACACTATTAGTAACCAAGAAATGAATGGAGGAGAGAAACTGAATATTTAATTTGTACAAATTTTAGATGATGTGAATTATCAGCATGCCATCTATTACTACCACCTAACAGGCAAATGATTAGAGCAGAGCTGAAAAATGCTGGGAGGCAGTGAGGCAAAAGCACACACTGTTAAATCCTGTGTTGCTTGCATCCTATGAATAGACAGTGGATTTTAGCCTTCAAATTGTTAATTTGGTATTCCTGTGAAAAGTTAATTCACTGGAAGAAGAAACCAAACAGAAAATAAGCCATTAAATAAAATCCCACAGTCTCACATCGAAGTACAGAACAGGGTAAGCTGTCACCAAAAAACAGCCTTCAAATCAGTTTAATATAGTTTTGCAAAGTCTTTAAAGAAACACAGATTAAGAAAGATTACTAACATACTGCTGTTTTGAGGGATTTACTATCATGTGCGTGAATTTACACATTAGTCTTCAGGCAGTGCTAAAATTCTTATATTCCTACATGCTCCTTTCTACAAGAAACATCCTTTTTTAGGCTCCTTTATTCTCTTTATGAGACCTACATCTGTCTCTTGTTACTGTTACCAATCATAAACAAGTCCAAGTTTTTCAATATTAAAATATGTGTTAATTAGAATAAATTGGAAAAGCCAGCAGCATTTCTGTAGGTTTCTTATTTCACTTTTCTTTCCCTGGAAAGTTGAGAAGCATAATGCTTTCCCCCACCTACCTGAGAGAGGTTGAAAGTAGCAACAGTGCTGTCATCATACAGAAGAATATTAATAGTGTCTAGCGCCCAGGTACTTTCAGCCAAAAGACCAGATTTAAGAGACATCATCACTCTCCAGGCCTCAGGAGTTACTGGAGAAAGAAAGAGGGAGAAGTAAAACAGTATTAGTGCATCCTTGGAGACTGTTAATGGGTTCTGAAAGAGTAAACTGTGATATTCTGAGGATGCAAATTTAAATTAAATGGTAATTGGTTAAGACTCTATTTTCACTGCTTAGTTCTGTTCAGTTTTCTGTAAGTGCTGATAAGCCTTAGTGCAGGAGAATATCCTAGCAAGGCCATTCTTCACGACTCTGCTGAACCTGAAATAATTGTACAAACTTAAAGAACTTGACTAGCCCAATTCATCAGTAAACAAAAGTAGAATACTCTGTCAGGAATGTGAAAATTTGAATTATGAGAACTTGAATGGATGAAATGTAACTAAAATTTAAGATCAGAAAATCCTTGGGGATCTTTTTAAGAAGTGGAGGAGAAACAACCAGGACAAATACTATGGCATGATTAAATGTATCATTCAAGAAAAGCAGAGACTGCAACTACACAGCAGAACAACATGAGCTTCCATGGAACAAAAACATGGAAAGCTTTTCTAAGCTAAATGCTGTACTGGTAATTTAAAAGACATTCTAAAGGACCTTTCAACACATCTCATTTTGAAATCTGAGGCAAGCTTCATTTTTAATGCATTTATGAAGACTTCAAGTCTCCATATAAAATATTACTTTCATTTCATGTCAGATTGTCTGGGATGAGTTTTACCTATCATCCTCACTATGCACACGTTATCACGTTTTTATTGAAGACAATCACATTTTAGTTACCAAAGCTCACTATTTGTCAAGAGTGTCTTAAGATGTGAAAGGAAAAAAAAAAAATCAAATCAGAATCAAAGTCCCTTTCTTCACAATTTATATGAGGCTTTGTTTTGATGCTTACCAATATCTTTTGAGGTAATCTTTCGTCTTGGTTTTAAGACTGGTTGGGATGCTTCTACAGAGCCTGGGGGGAAGGTAATCTCTCGCCTAATTGGTGGTGGTTGGGGTGGAGGTCCTGTGACCTGTGACACTGGAACTGTGGGTATAACCTTTTGCATCTTCATGGAGGGCAGGAAAGGAGACTTGCTTGGAGACATACGGTTTTCCAAAGAGCGCTGGAAGGATGCTGGACTTGGAGCTCTGGAGATGTGGTTTGGCATAGAGGGTGGTGTCTGGTAGGATGACTGAGGAGGTCTAGTGATAGGCTGCATGGAGGCTGAGGATGACATATAAGAAGGCTGCCGTTGGTTGACATGAGAAGGCCACTGACTCTCATGGTTTATCCTCTGGTCAGGTACCATCATATCATCAGTGCGATTCATCCCTGGATACGGAGGGGCCTGTGCGGGGCCTCCTGGACCTTGCCTGTTCTGGTAAGGGTAAGGCATATCATTTCGTGTTGGCCACATGTTCTGCTGAGGACCTTCATTGGAGGATGACGACTGCATGGGGCCACCAATCATCTGGGGAGGTATTCCATGCTGCTGCATTTGTCCTGGGCCCTGCATCCTCTCCCTGTTATATGGATATGGGTACTGTCCCTGCATGGGCCTCCTGTCAGGCCCTGTGTAAGCGTTGCCGTACTGGTTATACATTTCCTGCTGCTGGTTGCCGTACTGCATGTTGTACATATCCCCTTCGTGGCGTTTGGCTGGAGGCCCATACATGCCATCCATGTGTCTCTTGTAGTTCTGAAAGAAATTTTGGAAAGAAGTGTCACTTTTACTCAATGCACAATACAAATATACTGGATGAAAACTAATTTAAAAAGCTGAAGGCACTTAGTTCTAGAGGGATCGTGCCGACTCCAGAGTCAGGCACACAGTGCTATGGTTAGGCTTGATCCAGTGCTTTCTTTTTAAGCCTCTGTTTTGCTGTGCTTATAAATGAATACTAAAAGGAAGCTTATCCTTGGGCTAAATTTTCTTATGCTTGCTCTAATTTTTTCCCTTTCCCTTTCCTCCTCCATCTGTCAGACTAAATTCCACTGGTCATTTCAGACATGCATGAAAAGGCAACAGTCCTCACCAACTAAAATATTTTCACTTCTGTTTTATTTTTAGTCTACCAAGAAGAAAAAACTTAAAAAAAATTCAAAACCACCCTGTGAATCTTTTTGAGAGACAAGCACTGAATAAACTCTTAAAGTAACATGATATGCTGCAAGCATGCATGTCTGAAATACTGAATCTTATAATATGACATAGGCTACAGATAGTAAATTTATTAATAGGACAAAACAATCTGCTGCATTTGATATTTTGTGTAATTCCCAGGAATATGGTCCTCTTTGGGCAACCATCTTCTTCCCAAATCATCCTTATTACATTTAATTTACTGTGAGATTATTACAGCAAATGGTCACATCCAAACATTCTGTTCTAGTTTATGCAGGTTCTTACCCTGCTGTTCTGTAATGAATTAAGCAATGTAACTAACAGCTGCCACCTATGGTTTACTCCCTCTTTGTTTCTCACCCTCTCAAATGGGGAACGTTGTGTGAGGTAAGCTGCTTTACCTTGGGGAGAGCAGAGTGGTTTTTAAACCATACAAGCTTGAATGTATTTATGTTTAAGGTGGCAGAACAAAAAAAAAGACATCTTGCTCTTTGAGGGGAAGGTGGTAAGGTTTGCAGCAGTCCTTAGTTCCTGTGGGAGTTTGTTCCACAGTTCAAACCACACTGAGTGCTCTGAAGCAAAAAATGTGAATTAAATGGGTGACTTTTGAATATATGATCTATGGCAAATTCAAAGTTACAGCTCCCCTGGAAACTCAGTAGCTCAGTAGCATTGTACAATGTATACTAATGTACTAGAGTTAAGATCAGATAAAATTCTGTGTTCAATATGGGAAAGTTAAAACAGCTCTGGGATTCATAAAGTCATCTTCCAACTTTGGTGCACATAAAACCACAACTACTGTATTGTACGAAAGTATTTTTTTTAGACTTGCTGTAGAGGTTCTGGTTATCTGAGAAATACCTACTTCAAGCCTTACATGAACTAATTGCTGTACTAAATTCCACCCTTGGGGCCAATTTATACATTAAGAAATGACTTGGCAGCAGCCACACCTAAGAAGGTCTGTTTGTCTTGCCACAGTGACTCAGTGCTTAGAGCAGACGCTTTGGAATGAAGCATGTGCCTTTTTAAAAGCACTCCAGGACGCTGGTACATGCAGTGCCAACGTGCCCAATGGTCCCCAGTGCAGATGACAGCGATGTGCCCGAGCTCCTCCCTCCTGTGGACATGCTCAGCAGGACACTGGGACTACACAATGTGTCTTTCTCTCCACTGAGATGTGGAATTCTGAGACCTCACAGAGGACAAGAAGCCACCAACACAGGTCACCTGCTGCGTAATAGCTCTTGGGATGTAAGCATTCATATATGAATTGGAAAACCTGGCTCCAAGTGTTACATTAGCCCCAGCAGTTCATGCTCCAAACACCTCCTTTGCAGGTTATTCCCTAGCCTTCAGGTTGTAGATAAAGCTTTGAAAGGGTCATTTTTCACATTCCTCCTGTACCACTACAGAGTAAGATTTAGGAAATTGTAAATAAGCTACTGGCAACAGAATCTGTAGCTAAATGAAGAAGTGGAATCCTCTGAGGGTGGGAGAGAGAGGCCAAGTCTGGTCAGGATCCTTGTCCTTCATTCCCCACTGTTTTTCTGAATGAATGCATTTTGCATTCAAGAGCACTAAGGACAGGACCAAATGTATTTTTACAAATTCTAGCTGTCTCCTTGCTTAAATGAACATGTAGTTAATGTATTCCCTCCACATGTTAGCATGGAATACCAAAACTGTTGTTACATATCTTTGCAATTTCCCCACTAAATCACCTAGACTGCTAGCATATGCTCATCATAAAAACCAGCAAAACAGTTTTTCCATTATGCCATTTTTGAGATGTTATGAACCAAAGAGATAAGCAAGAAATTCTGAAATTTAAACTTATGTATGTTTTTAGTACAGTGCAATCTAAGATCTCTTTTGGTTTCTCCCCACAGCACTCCCAACCCCTGACCCCAATTTCCTAGTAAAACCCTATCCCAAACTGAAAAGAACTATCTGAAATTGGCTCAAAACTAGTTTACATTTCAGGGTTTTTTTTAATAAGGAAATGCTTTCTATTCTGGAAGCCAACTTCAAGTACTGTATGACTAGAACTGAATTAATAAGACACGGAATGAAACTGATCCTGTTGAAGTCAGTGGAGTTTTGCTATTGACTTCTAAGGTGGGATTTTGCTCACAATGTACTAATCATACATGTAACAGAAAAATCTTATTAATATAATTTGTATTTTTGAGTTGTAAGAGTTGGGGAGACTGCAATGTGCAAATGTTTAAACTACTTTTAACACCAATAACATTCTCTCTTATGTATTTGTACCCTATTATTACCAGAGACATCATGTGGGAACATGCCCTCTGATCTATACTAAAGATAGGTATTTCATATGACCCACCACAGCACTGAAAATAATTGAGAGTGCTGCTCATTTCACTTTGTTCCAGTTCTCTGTTGGGTTCACTTGGCTGCATGACATTAAGTTAAAGCCCTTGAACCTGCTATTCAAGCAACTTTTCTATTTGTTCCTTCACTTGTTACTTCATTTCTATTAGTCACTTCACTTGTCTATGCTTTATACTTTCCCAGTCTGCTGGTTATTAACTTGGGACAATCACTCGATGCACATCCAAAGCCACAGAACATCTGTTAGAATTTACATTCTTCCAGTGTAATGAACACATTTTCCTACAGCTGCACATACATTGCTTATCCATACAGGCTGTGACTTTGACCAGAACTACAGTGCTCCTCTGTGCCAGAAGACATACACTGCATAAACAAATTTTTCAATGTATACAGAATCCTGGGGTGAATTTTTTTAAACAAATGTTATGAACATAGCCATTTTCTCCTCTACTACCTGCTGCTGTGGATACATTCCAGGTTGATGTCCTCCATATGGTGGCTGTCCTGAGGGAGGTCCTTGTCCTGGATACTGCTGCCCATATGGTTCATGCCTAAAATAAAGCATTCAAATCAACACTTAGAGCTGCTGGAGTTTTCAAACCACCAGGAAAAGTAAAGTCCTCTGAAAATCTTGCATCTTGAAGGTATTTGCCATCTGGAAACAAGGTTAAGGTACAGTCTGGTATGGTCCTGAGCCTGAGGTAGTAAGCTCTGCTGGAGCTGGTAGTGGAAGTAAGGAGATAAAGTAGATAGAAGAAAGGAGGAGCAGTGAAGATACAACAGAGAGATTTAGAGGGAGCAGTCAGGAATGAGAAGAGGGTATGGTCAGCAAATTGGTAAGAAAGGCAGCTGCAGACATGGGGAGTCCATCCTTGGTGGGGAAGTATCTGGTGTACAGCTCAAAGGTTGCAGGTAAAAATTCTTGTGTTTTAGAATGCCAGTCTAAGAGCAAGCTACTTTCTTGATTATTCAGGAATATATCAATTTAAAGTGAGTAAAAACAGCACTCATAATTTTGCTAATGTGTCGCCCTGAAAACTCAGCTTCTGAGCTTGCTAACATAGTTTTCTAAGGACTTTCCCAGGACAGTAACTGTAAACATAGATATGTGTACATTCTTTCTGTTACACGTCTTGTGATGGACATCTCTCATGGTCAGTGAGTGAGAAAGTGTTATCCTGACCATCCAATCCCTGGCCATGGTCAGGAGCCTATAAATCCTGGGGGAAAAATAAACTCCTTCTTCTTTTCACCACACCTCAACCCGTGTCCACGTGATCTATTCATTTTCAGCGGTAACACTAATGTTCGTGTAATTTTTAATTAAAGCTACATAATGAAGCATACACAGTGAGAGACAGAGTTGTGTTACTCTTGAAAACTTACCTGTGGCCTTTAAGACCTCTGAGGAGCACAACAGTGCAATATTTTTAGCACACCTGAATGAAATTTAGGTTGCTGAAATCAAGTACTTGGAAAGCATTAAGTTTGATAAATAACACTGTATTGCAGGCTAATATGTCAGTAATTCCTCTCTGTACACTACCAGTGAGAACACACCAACAATTAGAGGATAATTATGGAAGTAATGTATCAGGGAGAGTCACAGAAACAGAGAACTGGGGAACCTGACATGTTAAAAGAACTAATGGAACCTCATTTTTCCAAAAGCATAGAGAACTAATTTTTTTAAAAAGAGATGACCAGAGAGAAAGAAATAGCAATTCAGTATCTCCTAAAATTATGACATGGATGGAGAGAAATTATCCAATGCCAGTTAAAAGAATAATGTAAATGAGGGGAGTTGTCTGTAGTTGTCCAAGAGTACATGCACTAAGATAAAGTTAAGCAAAGGTACACATATGTTATTCATAAGGGAAGACTTTCTAAATGTTCAGTTTGTTAGCCACAGGATAACCACAAGCCAGGTGAAATTGTGGAACCTTCAGAATGGTATAATTTAATGCTGCTCTGGAGAACTTGGGACTGTAAACGATGTTCTAGTCCTGTGCTGAGTAGCAGATAGACAAGGCAGGATGTACACTCCTTTTCTAACATCTCTGATTTTACTACTACAGAAAGTCAACTGACTCTCACAAGCACCTGATTCCCTGCAAGAAACTGAACCAATGGCAAAAGCCTTAACAAGAAAGCAAAACAGAAGTAACACACCAAGAGGCCACATGCTCTGCCTATGTGCTCTCACAGAGGCTTCTAGCACTTGTTAGCTGGTTTCAGTGTTCACCCTTGCTGGCCAGAATAACAATTAGGAGAGTACATGCTTGGGTCACTGTTTGAAGGCACCATGTTGCTTTGACCAGGTGGTACCATACTGCCTTCAGGACCCAGCCCATGATCCAACCTAAAAAATTACAAAGGAAACCTCATTCTGTAAAAAGTACTTCTTTTCCAAAATTGTCAACAAAATAAAATAAATCACATCCCTTAAAGGAAACATTCTCTTGACTTAACACCTTCCACTGGAGCCCTTACTCTCACCAACTCCCCAGCAATGTGACCTATTGAACAGCTTGATTAGATTTGCTTTACTTGACACATCCACTACTTAAAACTACTGACTGAAAACTACCCTGCCCTTACACTTTAACGACCCACACTGCACCACTCTGTCTACCACCAGGAAACAAAAAGAGAAGCTAAGTACACAGCCTAATGAAAGTAAAAGCAGGAATATGGCCAGAGCAGCAAAATCTGCCAGAATACTTCATATAATACAAACATTCCCAAAACATTCTGCTTACTCTACCAATGCTTAGACTACAGTGATTTTACCACTTTTTTTTTCCCCAAAACCTTTCCCCATATAAACAAAAGAGGACCAAATTTATTTCATGTACTTCACTGAAGGACAAACTTACGAGAATGCTGTTGGACACACTGCAAGACTGATGCTGCTACAGCTCTGACAACAGACTCCAGACTCTCCAAAGCCAATTCACTCACAGACCACAAATCAGACACATTTAGACTGCGCATTTTATTCTTCATTAAAAGCCAACCAGCAATTGTTTAGGTGAAACACAGCTAGGAGACCAGCTCAAGTGCTACTTTATGTCTTCACGGCCCTGCCCAGCTGCAGGCAGCTGTCAGACACCCATGAGCTGATGTGCTGCAGCCTGAGTGACTTCTAAGGTGTAAAAATTCCTCCTTATTAATTTCTGTGAACAGCTAGACTCAGTCATTACCAGTGGTTTGACTCCCAGTGATTTAGTAAGATGCTGTAGGAAATGTAGGCTGCTATGTTCTCTGTGAGATGGAATGGGAAAATGAAAAGGGAAGAGAGAGGTCATTTTCACTAATGGGCTTTGCTTTTTCCTGAAGATTGACTCACCTCCTGTCATAGCCACTTCCATAAGAGAACTGCTGTCGCTGGCTCATGCTCATGTTGGACATTGCTCCAGATGGACTCTGGTTATACATATCTTGTATTCCACTGTTAGGCATTTGTCCAGGGGTCATGAAAGGCTCATTGCTTCCAGGCACTGCAACAGTCAGTGAAATTAAATTTATTAATCTGCATGTTTGATGATCACTTTCTTTTAAATGAAGAATTTTAGCAGAATGTTCAGATCCCTAACACTGCCAAGGAGAATCAGCAGGTGTCTAACAAGCTCTCTGGGGTCTAATGGGAACACATGAAGCATCACCACTACCAAGATGATGGGTATAACATAAAGGAGCTGCAAGTGAGGAAAGGAATTTCCTCCTATGGAACTGAGCTATCAGGCACCAGGCAGCTGCTTCCCTCTGGTCTTCACAGCTGAAGATGAACTTACTCTTGTTCTTTTCACTGAAAACAATGCTAAAAATGAACACAAACATAAGCCCTACAAAACAGATGAAAGCAAATCTGCTAGTTTGAACTACAAAGCTGTCAGAATCAAGCTTTCACTTCCCTCCATAAAACCCTCATACACACATATACAATAATGCTGTTATGGAAAGGATACTGTATCCTAATGTAGCTTCTCAAGCAGGACGGGCATATTCTATGGGTCCAAGAAAAGGCACTATTATCAGATATAAATCACCTAGCAAATAGAAGAGATTCTAGCCTTTAGTCCCTCATAGTAGATACTGAACAGAGTTATTTCTGTTTCAACAGGATGAAGTGAAATGTATGACAAAGTACAATACACCCACGTAATCTCATATGGATATAAAATCTAAAGTGAATCTAAAGCAGAGAGTTTTCCCTCTCTTCAGCTGTGTTAAATCTTACTGTCCACAGTCCAGGCAAAAGGATTTAAAGGAAAGGCTCTAAAAAAAAAATCACACCTGATTAACTATCTCGTTTAAAGCATCTCCCCACTTCATCACGTCTTTCTTTCCTCAGTTTCAGGGCCTCCTCTTGCCGTATCTCCCTTTTGCTCTGTTTTAGTTTACACTTCATCTCCTCCACCTGCTCTTCTCTTTACAGCCATTGTGAGCCTTGCCTGTGTTCTTTCCTCCTACTTTCCTGTATCCGATGCATGCGAGATTGATTCATTTTAAGATAATTTTACAATATCCACAAAGCCAGCTGTAGGTTAAGTACCCAAAAGGACCAGAGACAGTTTTGACACTAATTTTAAATTTTGCTTTCTTAAAAAAAAAACAAACTTTGAGTGTGTTTATCACCTTTTGTCAGGGACTGCCCAAGTAAGAATAAATTTAGCTTTACTATTCTGAAAGACATGTAAACTGAGACAGAGAGCATTAGGAGGCTTGCTCAGTTTCACACAGTGAATTCCCAGATCTGTCCTGCTACAACCAGGCATGTTGCTTCATCACTTCACATTCTAAATCACATTCTTCACAGAGAAGTCCAGCACCTGATTTGCAGAGTAGCTAACCAGCCTGAAGAAATATCAAATCTAACCCTATGAATTATGCCATTTCCCCAAAGGTATTCTTATTAGTGTTTTAGGATTCTGTTAATTCCAAAATAACAGGCATGACTCTGAGCAGGGAAAATATGACCAGACCAGAAACTCAACAGTACTGCACCTCTCTTTTTGCTACAGGGATACTAATGGCAAAATCATCAAAGTGAAAAAGCTCATTCTGACTACAACATCTTGATTACCTACAACACAGGGAAGAACACTTAAGCTCCTACAAAGGAAATACCTTTTCTCATTCCACCGAAAGGATCTTTATTCGGCTCATATGGCATCCTTCCCATCATATCTGGCATGTTTATTCCCTGCTGGTATGGTGCATTTGGCGTCATGGAGTTTCGCTTTGGGAACGCTGAATCACTTACATCAGAAAAGGGATCATGCACACTGACTGCGCTGTTCCTGGCAGATTAAGAAAAAAGAAACATTAACATCATCCTGTATTTGTAGCAACTGTGAAAACAGCCTAGACTACAATACAACTAGCTCACCATGCTGTGGCAGTGATCAGTGTAGGATACATATGAGGAAGATGCAAAAGACTTTCACAATGGACAATCATTAAAAAGAATATACCTACTTTTCCTCCAAGCTTCTTTGTCTACTTACATTAGAGATCAGGATTTTTCATCTAGTTCTATTGTTTGTGTACTGTATTACTCATATAAAAATCCAACGCTTCCTGAAATTTCACTAAGATGTTTTGTTCTTTTTTACCTAGAAAACTCAATCTGAATTGAAGATGATTAAAAACTGTTCTTGCTATCCTTTCTGCAGCATTACAGATGGAGAAAAAAAGAACCTAAGTAAATTAAGTTTGGAGTGGCTCTGTACACAGTTCAAAGCTTCAGTTCCTGCTGAAGTCATAAAGAACTGTTTTGCTGGACTTCAGTGGACTAAGACTCCTTAATGAATGGCGAGACAGCTTCACTTCAGGTTAAGCCAGTCTGTGAGACTTCCAGAGCACAGAACCGAAAGGGATCTCTTGGTCCATCCAGTTGAACTCTCTGCTATCTCAACCACTGTTACTGTATATGCTTTTCACAATTTGAATTCAGAAGCCACCTTTAAACCACATATTTCTCCTTCCTGAGCATGACTGAAATCTGTTGACCAGAGGCGTACAGGATGAGCAAGGAAAGAAAGGTTGTGGTTCTACGTTGGTGCTGTTGGATTCCACCTTCCTCCCCACTACTGACATATTCACATGAACCTCTTTGCATTGGTGCTTGTCTGATCCTTCTCTGGTGTTTAGAAAGCTAATGGACCTCTACTCCTTCCTCCCTTTCCCTCTCTCTCCTCCTCCTATAAAATAAATAATTTTCTGCCACTTTTCAGACTCTGACTGATTTACCACAAAATCCTACAAGTGCCTAAGCAGCTAGGAAAGACCAGATTAAACTGCTGTAGAACTACAGCAATCAAAAACGAAGCAAAGCCCTTTTCATACCTGCCACCCTGCATAGGTGTCATCTGTCCATGAGGTGTGGATGCTGGTGTTGGGGGCTTCAAATCGCCTGGCACTTCTGTCATGGAATTACTACCAGTGGACTGCGGTGTCTGTGGGCCTTGCAGGGAACCAGAATTAGCTGGAAAAAAAAAAAAAGTAATTATGAAAAGGTAGCAGCCAAATTCCTGTGGAAATAATAATCATCAAGGAAAAAAAAATAGTTCTTTCCTCCAGAAGCCTGTGTATACCTCAATCCATCTCAGTATTTTGTAACTTCCCCAAAATCCTCTGAGATCAGGATATGCTGTGTAGTAATAGCCATCATCTTTCCTAGAATCATGAATTTAATCTGCTGCCTGAAGCAACATGGATAGAAATCATCCAGATGAAGGATCATTTAAATCAGAGGTCAGAGATACAAAGTTAATTGCCTGTAGTTTACAACAGAGTAAATGAAGGTTGTTCTTTGGCATAGCTTCTTCATATAATCACTATTACAACACATGCGTTTATAAGAAATATTTCAGCCAGAAGCTTTTCATCATAAATTTAAGCTGCTATATTAATATAAATTCATGGTTTTATTTAGCACTAAAAGGCAGACATTTCCATGGTGAAACATAGCAAATGATTAGCGACACACTGCAATCCTGTGGCATCTTTGAGATAGCATGGCAAAAGATGGTATTTAAGAAATGCAAAAGGCAATCTGGGATCAGAAGAAAACAATAACTGAAAGTAGAATTTGAACAGGAGGCTACAGATAACTCCTAAAAGAACTGTAAAAACAGAAATGGACATCTCAACAAAATGTTAGTTAGGGTCAGTGATGGTAAAGCACATGTAACAAAACCAGGTCAATTCTGCAAAATATCTGTTTAATCTGCAAAAACTTCTTTGTTCAGAAAGCAATAGGGTATCTGCACTAGTGTCCTCCTTAATGGAGGTAAATAGCTTGATATTCTTGGTATAGGAAACGTAGAAGAGCATTTTACTGCTGTGTTCTGATGTGACTGAGCAGCAATAAAGACATGTAAATGAATACATCAGATATTGGTAATGGTAAAGATAGCACTAAAATACATCCAGACCAGTCTTCCAGAGTACACACCAAAGCTACTATTTTCATGTGACTACTGAACAGAAACATGCTCTGAGCCCAAAGCTCTACACAGTAGTTTTATGATTTAGAAGGTGGTAAGTGAGGATTAGTAACAACATCTAAGCCTTGGATCTGACAGGTCTTGCAGCAGAAATTCTATGGAAAGAGAACTTGCAGGATTCAAGTCTTTAGATGGAACTGGGAAAAAAATTACCAACAGAAAAACTTCACAAATCTAACACACTGAGTAGGACATGGATTTGGCTTGAGAGGTCATTCTTTTTTTATGAACTGTCATGTGTTTTATTGTGCCTGCCTATCTACATTCAACAACCAATTAACAAAACTTTATAAATTACTGTTAGAGGGAAAATTGGAACAAGCAGTATGGGTTTTTCTTCTGTATATGAAAGAGAGTAGTTTATAATTGGCTCAGAATCCTAGAACACTCATCATCCTGACAGGCAGAACTTGTTTTTAACTGAAGAACACCTTTTTTATATGTGATTCATTTATATCTGTAACACATGTTCCCCTATCTGGAAATCAGTCTCAGAAGCAAGTGCATATGTAAAATCCACACTGTGTGGACCACATTGTTCTTGTCCTCAGCTTTCTGAGGCATTTTTGAATTATGCTTACATAGTAATGAGGTTCAAAAAAAAGTTTAGGAAAAGCTCTCTGATTGCATTAATACAGGAACAAGAACATTTGCAACCACTAATGTTAGTTACATTATAGTCTACTGTTAGCTGAAGGCTTTAGTGCTACAATAAAACAAAAAACCCCATCATATTCACATAAAATGAGCTCTTTGTATATATGACCCCCAAGCTGGTCAAGATCATTCTTCTGGCCTTGAGCTTTAAACACAATTCTAGATTCTTATAAAAAGCTTGAAAGCATTTCTGAGTTATGCCACAGACTGTCACATACCATCTTGCTGTATTAGAAACATGTAAATAAGCATATTAGTGTACCCATATACTTACTGTAAATTCGGATATTGCCTAACCCTGCATATTTCTCTTATGGTGGGCTATTAAGAAGCAATTAAGCTTTTCCCTATCCTACCTGAGCAAGAGCTTAATTCATATCCCTAGCAAACCTAAAGGAAAAAAGTAAAAGATTTTTCAGTATTTACAGGAATACAAAATTATTCATAACAGTGTGTTTTATATAATCTTATATAAAGAAAGGTTTAAAAGAAAAAAGAAGATACCAAATTGAGAAGCTACAAGTCCAATTTCTATCTTCAGAGTGTAGTTAAAAGGTTGGTTATTTTTCCTCAAGCCTCTTTCTAAATGACTGCTTATATACAACTGAAAAAATGGAAGGAAAAAGCTGTCATGAGAAGTGCAAAGTTTCTGGTACTGCTTTGTTAATACACTTTGCCCCTGACCTCCATTGGGTTAGGGACACTTCTACAGAATAAGAACTGCAAGTTCTTCAGTCTCTGGATTAGGACTCCATCTACCAAGAAGAGCCTCTATTTCCTATTTCACCTTAAATTTTACATTTGCTGGGCTGCACTCTGAAATTTTTACATCTGTTTTTGCAGGGATTTTATTATGTTAGATGTTTAATTTTGATTGTGGACATTCTGAAAGAGTACCTTTTAGAGTGCTTCATAAGCTTCAGTATTAAACCAAGCTCTAAGAAGGAAGACAAACAATAATGTTCTTTTAGAAAAAGTAATCCCCACTGACATGATTCTGCAGCTATCTTGGGGATGCCCAGGAAAAACGTATTTGTGGTGGGTTCATAGCTACTGAATTCCTCGTCTCACATCCACATCTAAGCAATAATTGTCTTTCAAGTATCATAACAGATTTGTAAGAATATGCTTTTCACAATACAAAATACATCATAACTTAAATACAATTGACATCTTGGTCAGTGAGAAGGTGAGGTCTTCCACAGTTTGCTGTGGAAGTATGTGTTAATAACACATGATAGCACACATTATTCTCTGTAGCATGGAATTATAGTACTGGCATGCCTTTTGCCTTGCAAAGCTTGCATAGCAGTAAGTAGTGCTTTCAGGAGAGACTCTTTATTTACCAGAGAAGAAATATGCAGCTAAAAAAAGAAATAAAACCTTCCTCTTGCCAGCAATTTTTTTCCCTTAAAAAAAAAAAAAAAAAAAAAAAAAAAAGAAAAAAAAAAAAAAACCCCTTAAAACTCCAT